GAATTTCTAATTGCCCTCTTCAAACATTTTTGGATCCCCATTTGCCCCAACCTGTTTGCCTTCTTTGAGGACTTATATAATAGTGGCATTGTCAATAAAGCCATTAAAGCTACTTTCATCGCTTTGATCCTTAAGGTTGACGGGCCTGAGGAGCTCAAAGACTATCGGCCTATTAGCCTATTAGCCTCCTGAATAGCTCTTACAAACTTCTATCCATGGACCTTGCTTCCAAGCTGAGAGTGATCTTCGGATGGGTCATATCCCCAACCCCAAGGGGCTTTTGTCAAGGATAGGCTGATCCTCGACATGTAGCCTTAGTGCTCACTAGTGCTCCACACAAGACACCTCATCAAAGTTCTAAATTTAGTCATTAAACTAGACGGAAAAAACTTTTCTCAAAAAAAAAAAAAAAAACTAGACGGGGAAAAGGCTTATGACCGTGTCAACTGGGATATCTTGGTTGAGACTCTCAGTGGGATGGGTTTTGTCCTCCGCTGGAGAAAGTGGATGAGAGGGTGCATCTGGAGGCCTTCCTTTTCCATCCTCATCAATGGCTCCCCTAGGGACTTCTTCCATTTGTCGAGAGGTCTCGGGCAGACAGACCCCATCTCACCATTCCTTTTTGCCGTTGCGGCTGATGTCTTCAGCAGATCCCTTTCGGGGTTGTTCCGAAATGGATTTCTTAAAGGTTAAATTGGCAACCATGGCTCTGAGATCTCTCACCTTCAATATGCTGATGATACCCTCTTGTTCTGCAATGCTACTCCCCACCATGTTGACTGCTTGCTCCTTTCTCTCAAGTGCTTTTAGATGGCCACAGGCTTCAAAGTGAACCTGTCCAAAACTACGATGATGGGGTTGCCATCGACAACCTCGTTGTTTCCAACCTGGCTCATTGGTTGAGGTGCAAACTTCAACCTTTGCCTTCCTCCTACCTGGGGATGCTGCTGTGCATTGGCAAGCCTAAACAATGCCAATGGAGCTACATTATTGATAAATTTGATATGAGGTTTGTGGGATGGAAATGTCTCTTCCTTTCGTCAGCAGGTCAGTTAACCCTAATTAAGGTTACTTTCTCCAACGTTCTCGTCTTCCAGATGTTTCTCTTTCTTATCCCCTTCTCCGTGGTCAACGGCCTATAGCAACTTATGAGGATCTTCCTATGGTTAGGTGAGGATGGCAGAAAGTATCAGCTGATTGCTTGGGACAAAGTTTACTCTTCCAACTCTCAAGGGACTTAGGAGACTCAAAAGCAGCAACCTCACCCTCCTTGGTATATGGTGGTGGAGATTCACCACCCAACAGGACCATCTTTGGCTTGATGTGGTACGTTACAAGTACTGATGTGAACCCTTCGTCTGGCTACCTAGTGGCTGAGTCCCGAACAATCCCTTTGGGCTATGGAGAGGCTTGCTCTATTGTCTCAATCGGTTTGTAGGCCACGTTTGTGGGCCGAGATCTGGCGAATTAATTTCCTTCTGGTCAGATTTGTGGATTGGACATTGCCCCCATGAGTGATCATTTCGCCAACCTCTTCTGTCTGGCCCGGCACCTGCCTCAGTAGTGACAAATTTTGATACATTGGGCTTTGGTAGGGTGTGGAATCCTAACTTTAGGAGGCCTTTGTCCGACCAAGAAATGCTGGAACTCTTAAAACTGCATTCAATTCTCCACGCCACCTTCATCTCGTCTTTCAGTAATGATAAGATCGTCTGGTCTCTAGCTCCGTTGGGTATCTTCTCGATTTTCCTTTATCTTGCCTTACAGAGGCCCCCAACTACACCATCCCCATCCCCATCCACAGCAGACAGAGCTTGGTCTTCTTTCATTCCTCCCAAGGTTCAACTTTTCAGCTGGTTAGCCATTTCTGGAGCGATCTCCAGCTTTTTGAATGGTCATGGGTTACTCCACAGTCAATCCCACAACTGTTCCTATCCTTCCTCTCTCCCCCATGGCCCAAGTTGGGTATCCTCTGGCAGAGAGTCGCAGTGGCTGCTACACTTTGGGTAATCTGGTTGGAGAGAAACAACAGGACATTTTGTGGCGAGAAGTCCCATGTCGAGCCCTAAAGGAGAAGGTCCATTCTATAGTTGTTGAAAATGTCTGTGATTCCGAATCGTTTCTGGAATCGGAATCACGGAATCGCGTTTATCAGAAGTTTCAGAATCTAGGAATCGCTATTCGTACGATTCGGATTTGAAAAAAATGATTCTCACTATTTTGAAATCGCACTTCAAAAAATTAAGAATTGTGTTTCCTATTTACAAGAATCGATGTCCCTTGATGTTGGAATCACGTTTCATACCTATATAGAATCACACATGACCCCACTTGTTTCAGTGGTTGCTGGAATCGTGATTCCTAAATTCAAGGAATTGTGATTCCTAAAATTCTAGAATCGTTGTCCTCATCAATTTGGAATCAACACTCTCACCATTTCGAAATCGTGATTCTCCCTATATTGGAATCGAGATTATCCCCTTATTAAAATTTCAAACCAATTCCCTCCGGTATATGAGAGAAGTATTCAAAAAATATATAAACTTACCCATTACTACAAGATTGAATTTTGGTATGTATATACTCAGTCCAACACTCCAAGTACTAATGTCAACCTTTATGATATCTTTGTAGACAATCCCATACAATGGACTTGGTCTACCGATAACCCTATTATACCTACAACGTCTAGAGCTAGTCTACGGCATACAAGGAGTGAGAACAAGGGCAAACTCCTTTTATCTTCTTTCCTTGAATTATAAAATAAGTACAAGACATAGTAATTCTTCTTTGTTAAATGTAGTTTTGAGTCTTTTGGCTTTTGAAAATTGAGTTATTCAATTTTTAGTCAATTTCTCTGATATTTAATAATTAATTTAACCTAAAACACTACACAGGACACTTTGCTCATATCCTTATTATCTTCTTATCCTACTTAAAGAAATGCATTTTTGTCCTCTTATTCAACTTGAAGAAATGACGGTGCCGATCATATATTAAACATTATTACATTAGTAGTTTAGTACCCACACCATTTACCAAATAGTTTTTTATTTGAAGTAACATATTTTTTTAGTATTATTTATTCTTGGTAAGAGTTCTTGAAAGGTAACATGGAATGAAGGATGGAAATTAGTAAATAAAAAAATAAAAAATTTAACGTATTACTCATATTTTAAAATTTGATTTTATTGCCGTGTGCAACAACTTTAAATTCTCTCACGCTCTCATACATGTCGTGCTCACTCATGATTGAGCACACATCGAAGGGTTTCTGCTCTCCATATGCTCACATTACTTTCATGTTATATATTATTTAGTTGAACACTTGAAGTTTCTATTCTCACATGACTTTCATGTTATATTATTTAGTTGAAGACTTGAAGTTCCTATTCTCGCATCAATTCCATGTTATAAGTTATATTATTTAGTTCAAGAATTGATGTTCCTATTCTCACATTACTTTCATGTTATATTATTTAGTTGACCTCTTGAAGTTTCGATTATTTAGTTCAAGAATCGCATTGTTGTGTAGCAAGGAATCTTGATGTCTGCGATATAGAAACTTGATTCGAAGCAACATGGATTCGCAATTCCAAAAATTTAGAATCAATGTTTTTCACAAGCAGAATCGCATTCTTATGTAGCTAATAATCATAAAGTCTTCGATATGGAATCTTGATTCCGGCAATCCAAAAATCGAGATTCCTAAACTAGGTGGAATCGTGTTCTTAAAAAAATGGAAACACGATTCCTTTCTTTTAGAATTGACTTTTGCCCGGGATATTGCTGAATCGAGATTCCAAAACGGAATCGCTACCCTCATAGGCAATTCGGGTAACTATAGTCCATTGTATATCATCTTTTGGATGCAAAACAACTAACATTTTAACCACTGTTCAATTGCGGACTTCCACCGGAATTGGTAGGCTTTACTATTTTTCCAACCCACTCGAATCCCTTGGACTTCTTTGTTGAGACCACTGGACAGCGGCCATTCCAAGCTCAACTTTGACGATTGCTCTCAAGCAAACCTGCCTCTCGGGCAATTTCCACAACAAGGACGACGGAGCTCTATTTTCTTTCTCTCGCATTATCGGCCAAGCCAACTCCAATGCTGCGGAGGCTACAATCCTCCTCTTTGGCCTCAGGCACTGTAACCACACCTGGTGCCCCTCTTTGATTGTCGTTTGAGAATCTAAGAATGTCATAACATGGGCCTCTACATCTTCTCCTTGTCCATGGAGGAGCTAAGGAGGGAGCCACCCAACACAACTCGAAAGGGACTCTTTTGGGCTTTTTTTTATTTCTCATGTCCCGTCTCTTGTATATTCTGTTCTAGTTATCTTTTGGCTGTCTATACAACCCGTATGGATTTTTTGGGCTGCTCAAGGGATTTTTGGATTCGAGCACTCGCCTTGTGGGTAGCAGAATATTTTGTATTACTTTATTTAATACAATCATTAATACTTTAAAAAAAAATTCTATATTTGCTCAGAAAGTTTATTTATCAGGATTTTTTGTGTGAAGGTGAATTAATTTTTCTATTTTCTTAATGTAGATTTGAATAATATTTAAAACAATAAAAATTCATAATAAAAAATTTGAAAATCAAACTTGAAAGCATACTGATCCATACCTTACTCGACATAAAAAAAAATTAAGGAGCCCAAAAAATTGGGAAGTTTTTCTTTATCCAATTTATTCTTGGAAATTTTATTCATTAGGATCCGTGTGAAGAGGGATTGGTAGTTTGTAATGAGGTGTGAGAAAAATCACAGACTGCTATTAAATTAAACAAATTTGACGGCCATTTGTCTGCTGATGATCGATAATTACATCCTAAGAGAATTAGTATACATAGTATAGATTTTTCTTTTGCTTGATGGAGCTTGGTCTCAAATGACAAAGAGCCTTAAAAGTTTATAACAGAAATGCATGGATTTCGTGGTTCTTCTTTACTTGGATCACTATCTAAACTGCTGTGTTTCATCAATCAGGTAACACCAGTGGGATGGTCAGAAGGGGAATGTGGAGGCAAAGCTGGTTGGTTTCCGTCAGCTTTCGTGGAAAGGCGCCAAGGGATTCCTTCGAACAAAGTGATTGCTGAAGTGTTTTAGCATCTTGATCAATGCTGAACATAATGCTTCTGAATGCACTACTGAAACTTTTCAGTAGTCAAGAATGCCAAACCTTGTTATTTAAATGTAACATCAAAATTATAACCGTCAGAAGCCCTCTTTCCTTGAGAGATCGGAGATTTGCTGAGGTTGATTTTACAGATGACCATATTCATCATATATTTATATTTTAGGATTGGACTTGGTTGAGGAGAATATATCCCATCCAATGGTGGGGTAGCATATGAAGAAGTTTTCAAATGGTTGTAAGAGTCCGCAATCCTGATGTTTGATCTTGATTCAAAAAGAAAAAAGGGAAAATTATTAAAAATCCACCAAAATGAGCTTTTTAGACCTTGACCCCTACCCTTATATTTCTATACTCTTTTTTTAAAAAAACGAACTTTCTTTGCTAAAACCCCCAACTAAAAAAGGTTTATTTTTTTTGCCAAAAATACCCCTTTTGTACCTGGAACGTGCGATCAAATCCTGCGGAAGGACCCTAATTTTCATTAACACCGGCCAGCAGTTATTATTCGATGGAGTGCTCAAGAGAAAACAATATGTCAGATCGAATATCTAAACTGACTGAAGTGCTTGTGTATTTGGGAAATATATTGCCGGAGTGCTTCTTAGTTTTGCCGGTACGCGTTTTTTAGATTTCGGATTGGCTATTAACAGTGAATCAATCTCTAGAGTGAATTCAAGAAAAGCTGGAGTGTTTTTTAGTTTTGTCGGAGTGTTTTTTACAGATGCCGAACTGTTTTTTTTGCAGTGAATTAATTTCCGGAGTGCTTTCAGCAAATGTCGGAGTGCATTTTACAAATGCCGGAGTGTTTATTTAATAGTGAACATTATCTAGAGTGCATTAAGAAAAAGTTGGAGTGCTTCTTAGTTTTGTTGGTGTGTGTTTTTTAGATTCTAGACTGCCTATTAATAGTGAATTAATCTCCGGAGTGGATTAAGAAAATGCTGGAGTGATTTTTAATTTTGTCGGAATGCTTTTTACAAGAGCCGGATTGATTTTTTTACAGTGAACTAATCTCCAGATTGCTTTCAGAAAATGCTGGAGTGAGTTGTAGTTTTGTCGGAGCGCGTTTCATAAATGTCGGACTGTGATTTTCGGAGAGTGTTAAAAAATGCCGGATCTCCCAAAAATGCTCTAAGTTCTTGATTTATTCCTTCATTCTTTGTTTGTTATAAATACTGGTTTTCTTTCACCAAACAACCTTCTTTCTCCCTCTAGAAAACATATGTGCTGTGTGAAATCTCTCTCTAGAATACATATATTGTGTGAAATCTCTCTCTTTCTAGAATACCTCTATTGTGCGAAATCTCCATCTCTCTTTCTCTCTCTAGAATACCTCTATATTGAGCAAAATCTCCCTCTATCTCTTTCAAACATAGAGACATGGTCTCTCTCCTCTCTCTAGAATACTTCTATATTGGGTTGGAATTTCCTCTATATGTTATTTATTTTGCCTAAAGAGAGATTTGATTAGTGTGAGGAAGCCGATGGAGAGAGAATGAAATTCGTGGAGAGGGAAAATCGTGAGGAAGGTATTGGAGAAGGAAATCCAATGGCAAGAAGAGGTGAGGAAGAAGCTGAGGAAAATAGAGAAAATTGTGACGAAGAAGGCGTGGTGGTAAAGGAGAAAGCTGTGAGCATAAGAGGCTGGAAGGCGTGGTGGTGAAGGAGAAAGCTGTGAGCATGAGGAAGAGGCCGGAAGGCGTGGTGGTGAAGGAGAAAGCTGTGAGCATGAGGAAGAGGCCGGAAGGCGTTGTGGTGAAGGAGAAAGCTGTGAGCATGAGGAAGAGGCCGGAAGGCGTGGTGGTGAAGGAGAAAGCTGTGAGAATGAGGAAGAGGCCGGAAGGCGTCGTGGTGAAGGAGAAAGACTGTGAGC